CATGAGAACACTGTATTGTTCACAGCGCCACATGCGTTTTTCTAAACTGATATCTTTGTTTTTAACACACAGGATATAAACGGAAACACTATTCATTTACGCCGCGCCCTCTAGTAATGAAACATTTTATACAGAGATATTTTTTGATCTGATTTTTTTTGATCGATTTCTCTCATATGATTAAATAAAAATCACGGCGAAGTGCCCTACATCAACATACTACACTGTGTTCTTGTAAACGTAATGACGTGCACCACAGAACACAATGACGTAACTATTTACGGGAGGTGAATGTTTAACGAAGAGCTAACGTTTAGCGTATGCATGTTTTAATTGTCTGCGATTTTTTATAGACAACGCGTGGACTCTGGTCAGATGGTTTACGTGGGTGTGAAATCCGCCTTGTTGTATTCTGACCGTTAACTGTGGAAGATCGCAAAAAATACAATATCCCCGTTTGTGAAAGATTATATAATACAGAATCAAACAGGTTTGTTATTTACCTATATTCCGATTTTGAATGACACTGAGAAGGGTCTAACAATCGATTGTCACCGAAATTGTTGTATCCTCGTTTCACACCCATTTGTATATAACTTGAGTGTTATATCATGGAGCATTGTGTGGATTGCAGCTTTGGATTATAAGTTCGGAAGTAAGTATGCTTTATCATAATTATGTTTGTATATTTCCACACAGAACATGGAATTATCTTGGGAAGACGTACTTGCTATGTGTGGCCATGAATACGGTGCGCGGATGGTAGACGTTGAATTTCTTTACCATGCCACTTCACAGACCAATAAAGAATTAATTTGTAAAGACGGATTCTTGAAACAACATGTTGTTGAAGACAAATTCTATGGTCCAAGTGCGCCAGTGGTTGGGCTTAAAGGCGTGTTCTTCTGTGCTACGCTATATAACGGGGTCTTACCCATTAGATCACCATACGGCACTGAGCGTATACTGATTCCATTAAATGCTATTTTTGATGACAAGTGCCGGT